TGTGTGTGTGTGTGTGTGTGTGTGTGTGTGTGTGTGTGTGTGTGAAAGAAAGGGCCTAAGAAGGTCAGGGAGGATGAGAGAGGGAAAGGAGTTTTTAAAAAGGGATTGAGAAATGTCATCTACATGTACCAACTCCCCATGATGAATGTAATTGTAATGTACTACAAACACGTACCAATAAAACTTTTTTTTTTTGGTACCAGGGAGCGAACTCAGGACTGCGCTTATGAGGCAGGCAGTGGAATCACTGAGCTAAATCCCCGGCCCAATAAAAAAAAATTTTAAAACACCACATATAATTCCCTTTATACTGAGAATAAAAACACACAGAATTAATCTATAGTTTCAGAAGTCAAAATAGAGGTAAACCTTCAGGAGTGGGGTTGGTGTTAATGAAAACAGGCATGAAAGGGGCTTTTGATGTGCTGGTAATTTCCATTTCTAGACCTAGATGCTGGTGAACGCACTGCAGCCAGGTCCGTTCAGTGTGTGAAAGAACCATTGCATTATATACTTACGACATGTACAACTGACTATATTATGGTCTATTGCAATATAAACTTATATATACACATATTTACTGAGTGACCACTATGTGCTAACTTTCTACTCTCAAATGTATATATCTACAGAAAATGGAAATAAGGAATATGGCTATGTCTCTGCTAACCACTCTTCACTAATCTGTAAGTCAGAACCACACACATAGAGTTGCAAATAGATTTTGGCTGCCTCATTTGAATATGAATGAATTGATTTAAATTTCATAGGAAGATATCTGCTATTCTCCAGACAACAATTAGGGATGTTTTAATGTGGGCAATGTTTTCTGAATACTGTATCAAAAACTGCTTGTGAAAAAGCAAAAGAAAAGCAGCTAGGTGCATGGTGCACCCCTACAATCTCAGGACTCAGGAGGCTGCAGGAAGATCAAAAGTTCAAGGGCGGCCTATGCAGGTTACCAAGATCCTGTCTCAAAATAAAATCCAAAAGAAAAAGGGCTGGGGATGTAGATGAGTGGTACAACACATGCCTAGCATGCACAGACTATGTGTTCACTACTCTCCACTATCATCACACACAAAAAAAAAATGCTAAAAGCTGAACCTGTCTTTTTCTTAAACATTCTCTACTACTGTGTGAAATTACAGTAAGATTCAAGATATTGTGAAGTCCAGACAGAAGCAGTACTAGCTAGCTTCCTAAGGGAAGGCCTGCTGTTCATCAGCTCACCACATAATAGGGAAAGGGGGGGATGTTCCCAAACTACAGCAAAAACACCAATGTACCTTAACCATGTAGTTTCAAAATTAGGTCATTTTATCACAGATTTGCACATCTGTAGCAACTGAATAGTAATTTCATTATGGTTTTTTGTGGGTTTTGTTGCTGTTTTAACATGTTTTCAGATATAAAGGAGAAAAATGCATGATAATTTTTACATCAGCTCACCTCAAATTCATTAGTTAGAATGAGCAGAATATGGTGAAATACTGCTAGACTTGAACAAAAAATAATGTACAATTCCTTCTTTCCCTAGAATTTCTAATTTTTTTATTCAGAGACAAGCACATCTCTACTTTATTTAAATAGTGACTAATAAAATTCACAATATCTCTTTTCTATAATTTATAGCACATTCTTGAGGTCATAGAGGAAAAAAAAGCCAAAGATCCACAAACATCAGAAAGAAACGAAACAGCACTTACTGAATATTCAGTTAGGTATTAAAGGCAGAAAATATATCCCAAGTATTTTTCTTTAAAAGTTTTCATAATCAGAATTTTTCTTTATTTCAGCTCTTCCAAAATCAGTTTTGTCAGTTTATTACCTCTGTCTTAATTACAAATTGTTCTAAAACATGGTCCTTACCGCTTCTACTGGAAAACTCTCTGTTCCATATTTGATTATCTTCACAGTCATTATTAGATTCTTGAATAAAATTTTAACAAGTGAATATCATCCAAAGAATAAACTGTAAAGACATAAGATCTAATAGCACTGTCACAAGATAAACTAGTAAAAAAACAAAATATTTTAATAAGTTAAAATATAAACGTTTTAATTCTTGAAATTTAACAAATTTCTGTACTTTTACCTGTAGACTATTTTTACTAAGGTGCTTTATAATATGTTTTTTTGTCTGTTTGATTTTGGTACCGGGGATTGAACTCAGGTCCTTGCGCTTGTGCAGCAGGCAGTGAAACCACTGAGCTAAATTCCCGGCCCTATAATGTATTTTAAAGCATTGTATTTACAAAAAAAAAAGAAAAAAGAAAGAAAAATGTTTGTAAATATTGCATATTTTATGTATTTGGATCAAAAGATTACAAATAATTAGACAAAAGTGGTTTTGCACCAATTTTATTATGTCAAGTAAAATCATCTGACCTGCTTTCTTGCACTTCTCATTTAACTTTACTATTAAAGAAAATCACTAAAATGAAAACTAGACATAGAAATTTCATTTGATCCTACTATTCCCTTACTAGGTTTAAAGACATCAGATTACTGTAATACATGCATATCCATGTTTATAGCAACACAATTCATAATAGCTAAATCTTGGAAACAGCCTAAATGTCCATCAACAGATGAATGGATTACAATGTAGTATTTATGTACAATACAGTAATGCTCTGCCATAAAGAAGAATAAATTTGAGTTATTTGTAGGAAAATGGATGCATCTTGAGACTATAATGTTAAATGAAGTAAATCAGATACACACAAGCTTAGATATCACATGGTTTCTCTTATATGAGAACCCCAATGTATAAATAAAGTGCAAAATAAAAAATAGACAGTAGGAAGTAGGAAACAGTGAGATTAATCTTTCACATATATATGGGAAGAGAACCCAAAGACAGAAAGGGGAGGGAAGGGCAGAAAAAGGGATTGGGAACAACTGCATTATTTCAACCAAACTATTTCAAAATAAAGTTACTGTGTAAAAAAAAAAAAAAAAAAAAAATATAATCTCTACAGAGCTAGAAAATAAAGACACACACAAAGAAAAATAAGATAATAATCACATGATCAGGTAAGGTCTATTAATTATACAATATAAAAATAACATATATAACATAATTTGCATTTGGCATTATTCTAAGTGCACTTTTTTTTTCAGGACAGGTCTCCCTATGTTGCTCAGCTACCCGCTAGGTACTGTCCTTAGTGATCCTCTTGCACTAGCCCCATGAGTAGCTGGAATACAAGCATGTCACCACATCCATTTTCTTTTTGTTTTTGTTTTCAGTGCGAAGGATCAAACCCACAGCCTTATTTCCAGTCCTGTATTAACCTTTTAAGTCTTCACAAAACCTTATAAAGTGGGTATAAACCTCATTTTATGATTAGGGAAAATGAAATACAAAAAGGTTAAATATCTTCAATACAACACAACAACCAAGAGGAGGATCTAAGTCTCAAACCTAGGTTGTCCAACTCAAAAACCTGAATTCCTTATCACTACACTATACCAGCTCAGGGAAAAATAGAAATGGGGAAAAAATTAAAAACACAATTTTTGTGTAAACAAAAGCTTCTACTATGATTTCAAAACATCATCAAGGGCTTGAAAATGAAAGAATCTGACCTATGTATTATTTTTTTCTTTTAGGGAAACTAAGAATGAAAACAAGAAAGTAGACTAAAATAAAGACAGCAGACCACTCTGGAGAAAAGTTTTAACTTAGTGCTGTGACAAACTAATTTTTGCACTCTCTTGATGTCTCTCTTGTCATCTCTGGAAAAGTCACCTGGTACTGTGGTTTAGATCCAAAATGACTCCCCCCACACACAGTGTGGTGTGTTCAGAGGTGGGGCTTTTGGAAGGTGACTGGATCATGGAGGGCAATATAATTATCAGATTAGATCACTGATGAGTTCACAGCAGAATATGTTGTTAGTAGGTGAGGTGTGGTAGAAGAGGCAGGTCACTGGGGGTATGACCTTGAAGGGTATATTCTCTTGACCTTGGGTCCTCACTTCTCTCTCTCTCTGCATCCTGGCTGATATGGGTTGAGCAGGTTTCTTCCACTGTGCCCTTCCCTCCATCCTGTTTCTGCCTTACAGCCAGCTGATTACGCAGGGGATGAACCTCTGAAACTATGAGCCAAAATAACCCTTGCTTCCTTTAAGTTGCAGGTGTTGGTTATTTTATCCCAGTGATGAGAAACTGACTAATACACCTGTAATATGTGGAAGGTCTTTGGATAAGTGGAAATGATTTGAATACTAAATTAGTTCAACGTGAGAATTAGACCAGAAATAGTTAAATAGAAATGGAAAAGAATAAAAAGGATGATTGATTTTCATCTCATAAATACTCGTTCTCCTGGGTGTGGTGTCACACACCTGTAAACCCAGCACTTGAGAAACTGAGGCAGGAGGAGCACTGCAAGTTCAAGGCCAGCCTGGGCTATATAGTGAGTTCAAGGCCAGCCTGAACTACATAGCTACATACTGGGGATCCTGACTCAAAAAAAAACACACACAAAAAAAATTTTTAAACTAGTTCTATGTTATGCATGTTTTCATTTGAATGAAACAGGAGAAAAAAGAAAAGAATGAGACTGGCAAAGTTTGGAGAAAATATCTTATATGACACATTAAAACCCAACCTTATTTCAAAATAGCTTGCAGGTGATCAGGTCTAGTTTTAGTTTTGATTTGGAAAAGAGTTTAAGATCAAGCCTCAAATATGTGTAAATATACAGTGCTAGGGATCAAACCTAGGGTCTTGTACAGGCTAGACAAGTACTCTACCACAGAGCTATATTCCCAGCCCAAGACTCAAACATTTGAAGACAGATAGATGGCATTTATAAAGTATGCAGCAAAGGTATCTAGGACTATGTTTTATGCTTTTATGTGAATTCTCAGTCTGTTTGAAATCTAAAAATGGATGGTCTCCATCCTATAGAATACATAACTGCAACCTAGAGAAACTAAGCAATGTGCTCTACTTTTATTCAATTAGAAGGAAGTAGGGCAGGGACATAAAGTCTCGAACTCCAAAGCATACTGTGTTATAAAGATCCCACAGATCAATGGTTACCAAACAGAGTATCAGAATCACCAGAGATGCTTTTATAATACAAGTTCCAAGGCCCCGGCAAGGTTTATTATTGCAATCTATCTCCTGATGACATTATTCTATTTTTATCATTCTCTGTATTGCTCCAAAACAGAATGTTAGTACATATGACAGAAATATTTCTAGTTTCAGCAGTGATGCACATTCTTAAGAATCTTTCTTTCCAAGCGCAATGCCACATGTCTATAATCCAAGTGCTCAAGAGGCTAAAACAGGAGTATCAAAAGTTCAAGGCCAGGGCCGGGGATTTAGCTCAGTGGTTTCGCTGCTGCTGCTTGCGGCGCAAGGACCCAAGTTCAATCCCCGGTACCAAAAAAAAAAAAGTTCAAGGCCAGAGCCAGGGATTTATAAGTCTCAGTGGTTCCAGTGTCTGCCTCACAAGCACAAGGTCCTGAGTTCGATCCCTCGTACCGGAAAAAAAAAGTTTGAGGCCACCCTGGCATACATAACAAGACCCAGTCTCAAAAGTCAAACTGGAAAAAAAGAATAAGAAGACTCTTTCTCTTAGAATGAAAATAGTCCCAAACTGTGTGTGTGTGTATTTTTTTTTTTTTTTTTGGTACTGGGGATCAAACTCTGGACCTTGCACTTGCAAGGCAGGTGGCAGCACCACTGAGATAAATCCCCACCCCATGTGTTTATATACTTTAATTCTTAATTTGTTCTTTCTTCTACCAATCCCCTTTTTCTCAAGATAGCCCAGCATTCAAAAGTTGTACCTCATAGATTACTGAGTCAGGTTATCAAGAGGCCACACTAGGATTTATCTACAAACCAGAAAATATCCCTGGCTAGGGCTTCAGATATAGTCGCTTCATAAAGTTGGACATAAATAAATTAGAACTGGACCAAACTAAAATATCTAAGTTCTCTTCAGAATGTGTTCTTGACACTGCATTTTTAAAAGTTACTACAAAAACACTGAACTTACCTTTCAAGAACCCAGAGTTACCACCTTCTTCAAATTTATTTGAAAAGCCTGTACAAAAATAAAAAGTAAAACTTGCAAACTTTTAAAAACAATACCATCTACCTCTGCATTTAAAAAAATCAGGGCCAAATAGTTATGATGCTATTTAAAATAAAATAAACCACATGCAACTATATATATATTGAATGAAAACTTCTTCAGGTTGTGCTAAGATTTCAGCTTTCTGCCAATTTATCAGCCCCATTCTCTTAAAGCTAAAAACAACTTTCTTTTCAGTCAGTTTTAATTACCTCAAATGTCCTATACTCTTCTATATGTACACAGGCAAGTCAGGAATATATGTTAGTATAATCACTACATACTTTCTATTTAAAATATCAAAAATTTTAAATTTTACAATTTCCAATCTCTTCATTTGTCAAAGAACAATGTAACTAAGTTATAATCTAATGTGTAAAAATTTTTCCCTTCTCAATAACATGGAAATCCTTAGTAATCTTTGGTAATTGTCCATAAAATTTTTAAAATTTCAAATGTCAAGTCTTAAACTGGGCATAGTGGCTCATACCTATATTCCCAGCACTAGAAAGACTGAGACAAGAGGATCTCACATTTGAGGCGAGCCTGGGCTATAGCTAGACCTTGGCTCAAAATAAAAGTTGAGTCTTGAGCCAGGGATTTAGTTCAGTGGCACCGCGCCTGCCTTGCAAGTGCAAGGTCCTGAGTTCAATCCCCGGTACCAAAAATTAAAAAGTTGAGTCTTATTTTTAGTACAAAAATACACAGGGAGCTAGATGTGGTGAAACATGCCTATAGTACCAGCTACCTGGAAGGCTGATAGAGTAGGACTGCTTGAGCCCACAATTTCAAGACCAGCCAGGGAAACACAGTGAAACTCTCACCTTAAAAAAATAATCTCACAAAGTGTAAGCTTAAATGTATTACATTTGTGCTTCTTTGACACAAGAACTAACCAATTATCATTTGACAGTGTTCAATTTATACACAAAATGTGTGTGTGTGCAAGTGCACATCTCAAGTAACTTAACATCTCAGGCTTAACAAAAATCCAAGGTCTTTTCTAGCAATAAAATTCCACAAAAATTTAATGCTCAATTAGCATATACATGTACTATTAAAACAAGTATCCTATACCCTTACTATACTATTGAATGATAAAAAAATTGAGTAGATATAACTCTTCAAAATATATAAACATAATTCCTACAGAATGTTCCCACAAGACCTAGGTTTTGAATTGTTTCATACATTTAAATATTTGCAACCTTTGTGGTTGCTTGAGAAAAGGACTACAATCTACTCTCCACATTGTTACATCCTCCTCATTCGCTCCTCAAGAGTCACTTTCCAAAATACTTGGGAAAGTCTTCCACTGACACATTACTGAACTTGATCTTAAACTCTGCCAAACTTTTCCTTTAAAATTTTTTAATTTAAAAATCCTTTTGGGCTGGGGATTTAGCTCAGTGGTTCCAGAGCCTGCCTCACAAGCACAAGGACCTGAGTTCTATCCCCGGTACCAAAAAAAAAAAAATCTTTTTTAAGATCTCAAGAAAAAAATACATAATTTCAAACTTTACTGGTTCTTTGCTTAACTAAAGATGGGTACTAAAATTCACATATGGAAGTGTAAGGAATCTCTCAGTAGGAGACTGGCAGTCTGGAGTAAAAGAAACAACTATGGGTCATATGTAGGGTGAATCAATCTGAAGATGCTCTATCAAGGAACATGACTGTTTCAAAATCAAAACAGAACCAAGTAAATAAAAACCAAGCCCATCCAGAGCAACACAAACTGCTAAAAACTATGACTAAGAGAGTGAAAGCATTCCCAGGTAACCCTCATAAATTCTTGATAAAAATTCACATTTTCTGTATATACTAAAGGGAAACTTGAACCCAAAGACTAAAAAGCTTGGGGCCAACTCAAGTTTTGATTAAGATATCATAAGCAAGTAATTACCTTTGTTTCCAAAACCCTTTCCAACTCCAAATCCACCCTTTGTGGGAGTATGCTCTCTTTTATTAGAGTCTCCAGCATCTAAGAAAGTTCACATAAATTCTTTAACATACAATATTACCTGCACCATCAAAAACTAGTAATGAAATGAGTGTTGTGGGTAAGGGAATTTTCAGTAATGGGAATAGAATAGTACAGAGTTAAGTAATAGACTTGTAACTTTTTTAAAACCCTTAAAAATGATACCAAAATAAAAAATATAAAACTACTACTGGTAAAATATAGGTTTCTACTAGTTGTTATTTTACTAGAAATTTTCAACAAGGAAATTCACTTCATGATTTTTTGTATGTTGAACCCTCTCCTTGACAAACCCAGCCATTATACTCTGTCCCTGTGTGAAAGTCACTGCTATTGGAAACTTTATACTCTTGTCCCATTTTTTAAACTGCTCTATTATTTACCTATTTTTCTAGTACTTAGATCTCTTTCACCCTTTCTACTTGTAAAATTAAAATCAGGGGCTAAAGTGACTATGAATACCACTGCCTTTCATACTTTCTATTATCCCTTTTATATTATTTGCCCATATTATTCTTCATAGTTTTATTTCCATTACATAATTCTGAACACTCAATATTTTAATTTACACCAAATAACTTCCTTGTACTCTGTATTGTGAACTTCTAATACACAGTATTTTGTGCTTTGGTAGATCCTTGCTTTCCTATTTTTTCTATCAAAATTATTTCTATACTTCAGAACACCAATTCTGTGGTCTTCCTTCAGCATTCCAGTCATAATTAATTCTTCCTCCACATTCCTCATAGCACACTACCTGTACCTCTTTTTAGTAATATTTTTCCATGTGTTTCACTACCACTAAATTAATAACCTCAGCTGGGCCTACTCCTGTAGTCCCAACTACTAAGGAGGCTAAGGCAGGAAGATCACATGAGCCTAGAAATTGGGAAATCAGCCTGTGCAACATAGCAAGGCAAGACCTCATATCAAAACAGAACACAACAAAATAAAACAGAACAGAACAAAACAAAATACCTTAAGGGCAGACATGCAATGGCAAGAAACATAATTAGAAAAACAAAAAATAGCAGAGACATCCAAAACAGCATAAACTGACACTAGTCTAAACCATCACTGCAAAAAATTAAAGCATTCCCTGTGATCCCTATAAACTGTTTTATCTTTATCCATAATACCTACTACAGGGGAACTGAAACTACTCATAGTACATGCAAAACTCCCCAACTGTAACTGTTTTCATCACAGCTTAGATATGAATGTGATTCAAGAAGTTAAAGGTGCTTAGCCATACTTTACAGAACATGAAAAGCTAATCAACATAAGTAAGAGTCAACTTCAAAACCATTCAGTGTTTCTGTTTTAATATTTAGATCTTAGATCCATTTTGATTTATTTTAGTGCATGATGAGAGACACTGGTCTAGTTTTAGTCTTTGGCATTTAGAAAGACAATTTTTCCAGTGCCACTTAATAAAGAGGCTATCTTTCCTCCAGTGAATGTGTTTGGTCCCTTTGTCAAAGATAAGGTGCCTAGGGGCCCGGGATTTAGCTCAGTGGTTTCAAGGCCTGCTGCACAAACACAAGGACCCAAGTTCGATCCCACCCCCATAACCAAAAAAAAAAAAAAAAAAAAAAAGATAAGGTGGCTGGGTGTATTTGTTGTTGTTTCCACCTCTTCTAGTCTGTTCCATTGATCTTTAGGTCTGTTTTTTTGCCAGCACCATGCTGTTTTTATCACTCAAGAATGCTTTGTCTTGTCTTTTACGAGCCTTGCTTACATTAATTTCCATAGAAACTGCACAATTGTGCATCCTCGTGCGTACTGCCACCCTTGCACACAGATCGCCTTTACCCCAAATTGATTACCAATAAAAATCAGTGGCTTGGACTGGCCAGCACTTTTGTTGGTTACACCAGCATTGGTTGTCCTGGCACCCAACTTTCTCTCTCTCTTAGTTCTGTCTTTAACTTTTTTTTCCTCAGGCCTGTGTAATACACTGGCCAGGAGACTAAAGCCTACTGCAGAGGTTTCCGGGAAAGTTTCAGGGGTCCCCAGTAATCTGCAAATAATGATAATTTAACTTCTTCCTTTCTTATCTTTATTCCTTTTATTTCTTTTTCCTATCTAACTGCTCTGGCAGAACTATGTTAAATAGGAGTGGTGACAGTGGACATCTTTGTCTTGTTCCTGATTTTAAAGTGAAAGCTTTCAATTTTTGACTGTTTAGTATTATGTTGGCTATTGGTCTATCATAGATGGCTTTTATCATATTAAATATCATCTATTCTAATTTTTTGTAGGGTTTTTATCATGAATGGGTGTTGGACTTTGTCAAATGCTTTTTCTGCATCTATTGAGATGATCGTGTGAGATTTTTCTTTGGCTCTGTCAATGTAGTGTATTACATTTACTTATCTGCATATGTTGAACCACCCGTGTCCCTGGAATGAATCCTACCTGGTATCCAGACTGCATGGAAACAGTGCAAAGAATCAACAACTAGGATCTCATCCTATTAAAAAGTTTTTGTAGCACAAAAGAAATCACCAACAGAGTGAAGAGACAACCCACAGAGTGGGAAAAAATTTTAGCCAGTAGTCCTACAGATAAAGGACTAATATCTAGAACATACAAAGAATTGAAAAAAATCAGAATCAGACCCCCCCCCAAATTTAAAGACCCAATCCAAAAATGTGTATCTAAAATGAAAAGACACTTCTCAGATGAAGTTTGAATGGCAAATAAACATATGAAAAAATGTTCAACATTACTGGTCATCTGAGAGATGCAAATTAAAACAAAGAATGGCTAAGATCAAGAAATCAACCAACAACAAATGCTGGCAGGGCTGGGTGGAAAAAAAGAACCTTGCTCCACAGTTGGTGGAAGTGCAGACTGGTACAACCACTGTGGAAATCAGTGTGGGGAGTCCTCAAAAAATTAGGATTAGAGATCCCATTTGACCAAGCTATTCCCCTGCTATTTTCCAGAAAGAATTAAAAGCATTATACCACAACAATATATGTGCGCTCATGTTTATAGAGACACAAGTTTGTAATAGCTAAATCTTGGAAACAACCCAAACACCCATCAACCAATGAATAGATAAAAAAGACGTGTTCTTTTTTTATACAATGGAGTACTACTCAGCCATAAAGAAAGATAAACTTGAGACATTTATAGCTAAATGGATGCACCTCGAGACTATACTCTTAAGTAAAATAAATCAGACACAAATGTGTCAATATCGCATTATCTCTCTGGTGTGAGAAACTGAAAGGGTAAATATGGACCAAAATGTATAACAGATAATGTGAAATAGGAAGAAATTGTTCAAAAGGAAAGGGAAACTGTGAAGGGGAGGCGGGGGGAGAAAGGGTAAAAGAAAAAACAAGAGAAAATACAGAAACAAAGCTTTCGTAAATAAGGAACGGAGCGGGGTTTGTAGGGAGGGGAGGGAGTTGGGAGAATGGTACAAATTCCCTTTGATGAATGTCATCATTATACATAAATTGTACCAATAAAATTAATTTTTTAAAAATCATACTTCTAGTTATAAAGTTCCAGCAATTAAGACAATGTTAAAGGGATCAAGGAAGAGAATTATACTTATAAGTCCATGAACTTCTGAGATTATATGAAGTATAACATTTTAAAGTACTGACATTCAACAAAGATGTCTGACTTTAAAATATAATGTGTATTTCAACATATGGAAATAATTTGTGACAAATTATGTCTCAATGGTGGTTTTCTTATTGAAAAAAATTTTATTCAACAATCCTTAGAAGTCTACATCAAAAAGTATGACAAAGCCTCTTCTAAAATAGCTTTCCCACTGCTGGACACAACACCCAACACCCACAATGTAAAGGAGAAAATGTTTAATTTGGCTCACAGTTTTGAGGAATTCAATACCTGGTTTGCTGGCTCAAAGGCAGAAATGATATTAGTGTTTAGATCTGAAATGTCCCCCAAAAGTCTCATGCTTTTAGAAGGTGATCAAATTATAGGGTGCTAATCCACTAATGAGTTCATAGCTCAATGTGCTGTTAGGAGGTAAGGCCTGATCAGAAGAGGCAGGCAGGGAAAGTGGGAGAGGAAAGGGAAAGGAAAGAAGGGAAAGGAAAAATTATGAGAAAAGGAAAAAAATGGAAACAAAGCCTTTGTAAATAGGGAGGGCAGGGAATGGGGAAAAAATAAGAACCAAGATACATCATGTACAGGTACAAGTACCCAATGATAAATGTATAAATGTATTGTATACCTAAAATGTACCAAT